GGGAGGGAGGGCGGGAGGGTATGTGTGCTATGTAGAAGAGGAAAACGTACAACGTTGTAATCGTAATTCTTGAATTGGACTCCAATGTCTCAAAAAAAAATTAGGGTTTTGGGTTTGGGAAGGGGGATCTAGGGTTCAGTTCTTTATTGAGGGCAAATTTCGGTCTAGATACAATACACGCAAGTGGTTAACAGGGCACCCCACTTTTCAGCCCCAGGATACCCCTCCAAGCACTGAAAAGTGCTTTTGGGGATTTTTTTTTTTCAGGTTTTTTTGTTTTTTTGTTTTTTGGTGCCCTATTTTATTTTCGGTTAACAAGGTATGCGTGTGCCAAGTTTGGTGTTTTTTGGGGTTTTGGAGATGACAGGTTTTTTTTTTTTTTTTTTTTTTTTTTGGGAACTGACTGTTTTGGCCAGCTCTGAAAATCCTGAAAATTCTGAAAATTCTGAAAATTCTGAAAAACTGGAAAGAGCGAATTTTGACTCTAAAACGTATTGTTGCCTTGGGGGGTTAGGCTCCTTTGGTTTGGTCATTTTTTTGCTTTTCTTTTTTGGTCATTGTTTTAGTTGGTGTCCACCCTATAGACTGGAGACAAGTGTGGGAGGTTTCTTATAAAGACCCTTTAAAAAAAAGGGATTTTTTTTTTTGTGTGGGTGTGTTTTATTTGGTGTCCACTCCATAGACTGGTGACAAGTGTGGGAGGTTTCTTATAAAGATCCTGAAAAAACCCTGATTTTTTTTTTTTTTTTTTTCATTGTTTTATTTGGTCTCCACTCTATAGACTGGTGACAAGTGTGGGAGGTTTCTTATAAATACCCTGAAAAAAACCTGAATTTTTTTTATATTTATTTTTTTTGTCATTGTTTTATTTGGTGTCCACTCTACAGACCCGGTGACAAGTGTGGGAGGTTTCTTACAAATACCCTTTAAAAAAAACTCAATTTTTTTATATTTATTTTTTTTGTCATTGTTTTCTTTGGTCTCAACTCTATAGACTGGTGACAAGTGTGGGAGGCTTCTTATAAATACCCTTAAAATTTAGGGTCCACTTTTTTGTTAACCGCTTCTCGAACGCAGGAACCTAAAAGA